CACCTACGGACAATTTAGAATCACCAATTAACCTCAACATGTTTTTGGACTGTGGGAGGAAGCCGGAGAACCCAGAGAGAACATACAAACTCCATGTCGAAACATCCAGGTGTCCTCATCAGGACGCAAACCGGTGACCTTCTAGCTACTAGCCAATGGTGCTAACCACCGATCCACCTTGCAGCCCTGCTCTCTAACATCACCATGTAAATTCTCCAGACATGTAAACATAACAGATTCCTGCGTGATCATAGAAGTGGAGTTCCATCCATCCATTATCTATACATCGCTTAATCCTCACTAGGGTCGCGGGGGGCTGGAGCCTATCCCAGCCAACTTAGGGCGAAGGCAGGGGACACCCTGGACAGGTCACCAGTCTATCACAGGGCTACACTTCGAGACTGCTAACCAAGCACACTCACATTCACACCTACAGACAATTTAGAATCACCAAATAACCTCAACATGTTTTTGGACTGTGTGGCAGGAAGCCGGAGAACCCGGAGAGAACCCACGCTGCACGGGGAGAACATGCAAACTCCACGCAGAAACATCCAGGTGTCCTCGCCAGGACACAAACCGGTGACCTTCTAGCTGCGAGCCAATGGTGCTAACCACCGATCCACCTCTCTAACATCACCATGTAAATTCTCCAGATAGGCAAACATAACAGATTCCTGCGTGATTGTAGAAGTGGAGCTATATCCAGGAATTTCTATTTTTTGTTGGTTTGGTGGACTTGGACTCAACGTCATGGTCAAAGCTGTCACATCCTACACCACAATGGAAACAGAGAGGCCGAAAGTAATGATACCTGCGGTGGAAAGTGGCCTAATGTTCCGTGACACTGATTGTCCAAGTCTCTGGAGCTTTACAGGAGAAATGAGCACCATTCTCCCAAAAGATATTCAGTGTTTTGACGACGGTGTCGAAGGCCACAGCACATGAATCACATCATTTTCATACTCATTAAACCATCCAGTGACCCTGCGTGCCCTATGAATGGAGGCATTTTCAATCCAATCAAGGGAAAAATGTTTCATCACAGGATAACTCTAAAAGACTATGGATTGATTTGCAGTGAACTTTTCTTCTACAATGACAAGTGGGTTTAAACCACGCCAGCAAAATGCCCTCCACAGAGTATCAGCATCACTGTAGGCATCGAGCGCTGCTGTGCTTGTTGAGAATATGTTGAAGGATGGTTTCTGCATCACCAAACTCTTAAATGTGCAGCTCTCTTTGTACTGAGGGGTTTATGTGCTGTAAACTCTACTATAATACCCCGCTGTATGTAAATGTGTTTTTGCTGACAGTCATCAAATGTCAAACAGAATTTCCGAACCTATCTGCTGATATCGTTGCCATAAATCTAAATGCAGATTTAGTCACTCCTTCCTTGAGCCGTCTTGGTGACTGTAGCTCCTGCCATCTGTGCCCCAACAGTGAACCCTTTATCAAAGATCTTTACCTCTTGACATCTTGATCAGCTGGGCTGGTCGGCATCTTAAACAGGCCACAGAGGATGATGTTTTACACATTTTTAATTAAAAGGGAACTTATCAGCGTTTATCCTTCAGTGCTGATAGGCTACTACCTGTGATGTGTCAGTAATCAGACCAAAGAGGTGGCTGCATCAGAGCCAAAGCAGAACATTTTAAAATTAAGTTAAAAGAAATACATGATACCAGTAATGGAAATGAAATCCACATGAATCCACGAGCCCACAGTGTTTCCTGCTGTGTGGTGCACAGATACACCCCAGTGAGTCTACTTCCAGGACAAAACACTCCACTCAAATAGCAAACACCGTCTACTTAAGTTTCATGTTACCTTCATTTGAACTTTAGAAGTCATTTTTACCCGAAACAAGGAGTGTGGGCATTTTTTTCCCTCCATATCTTCCAGTATAATTGCTCCGAGAGAGTCTTCACAGCCAGAGCAGAGACGAGAAATGATTACAGCAACCACATCTTTTACAATATATCTATGGTTTGTGAATATTACGCGGCGATAGACTTGAAAAACTGAGCCTTGCCCTTTAATCCTGGTTTAATGTTTGCTTCAGCGCAGTCTGTGTTGACAGAACACTCTTCATGGAGCCACAGGAAACACAGCAAATCTCTTACACTTGCAAGCGAAATGCAAAAGGATTGAAAGACTAAATGGATCAACATGTTGATTCTTTTATTGTATCTTAAATGCAGAATGAAATGTTCATTTGATGCAGCCAATATGGAGGTTGACGCATCCATTTCCACTGTGTTACATTCTTTTCTCAAGGATGAGCTGAATTACATACAAGGCTGAATTACAAATGGGCCTGAGCAGCCGATCGCCCTCAAGGCTCCACATTCACAGTGTTGCAATTAGTTTGCACTACTTCGATTCATAATCTGCTGGATAATAGTGTATGCACCACTAAAGGACAATATAAACTGAAATAAAAGGAGACTTAAGGGGACACTTGGATTATTTCCTAATACTAAATCCCCTCAAGATTTGGTAATAATGCAATGTGAGGCATCCCTGAGTTAAAATCTGGTTTTAAGGCCTGTTTATTTTGTGCTTGCACACACCATGCAGCGTGTAAGCAGCAATTACTAACTAACTAATACAACCACAATGCACAGAATTGGGGGTTGTGAGTGTGAGTGACCCACAGCCCCATCAGCCCTCCAGAGGATTCATCCAGCCCAGACTAAATATGGTAACTTTGAAAAGCCAACACTGGGCACTATTTAATCGTGCAAGTTGACAAGTGCAAAGTCTCCGGGTGCACAGACTGTGTGGGCATCTCCACCTGCTATTCTGGTTCACGTAGGTGCAGCAGCACAAAGCGTGGTGATTAAGAAATACACCCTCGGCCCTGGTCTCAGCTCGACAAATTAAGCTTCTTCAGGAAATCACATTCACGTCTGGTGAAGCAGTTAATGTGATCGTATCAATCTGATGCTATTTCAGTCACAACTCCAGCCTACTTCACATTGCAAATGGTTACATCATTTCTTAAAATGTGACAAAACAGCATTTGCTTTGTGATGCATTTTAAGAATGAAACATGAAACACTGATCCTTTTTCAGATTTAAAAAAAAAAATAAGGTTGTGACGCATTGGAAGAAAACCCAGCCAGTCTGATGTGAGCAGAGGTCTGGTTATTATGTAGACGCCCCGGCGTTGTGTACTTAATAAGTACAGTGGACAGCTGAATGTAATGGCACTGCACTCTGGCGTAGCAATTCTCAATTGGAGGCTGCAGATTTATGAACATATGCATTCTGCTGCCTTCAGATGGCTGCAGGGATTTAATGAACTGAAGCTAAAGCTTTGCACACAGTAAAAAGCAGCTGTGGAGGAAAGACGCTGCAAGAATCAGTCATATTTATTAATGGTCAGCGCTATCGACTTTAACCACATTAAAAGTTCATTTTCTTCCAACAGATGAAGGTTTAATTAAATCTGTTTACTTCCTTTTTAAGCATTATTGTGTGTGTAGCTGCAAAGTATTGTGTTTCCGCTTGATTACAAAATCTTCAGATTGGCATCAGATTGATGTCGCTTCGGAGATTTTTAATGCAACATCTATGACAGATTTTCCCTCTAAAATGCCAACAACTGGCTCTGTGCTGGCTCATTTGAATAAATGTCCCTCCTTATCCTTTCAGTCTGTGCTGGGCACCAAATTGCCACACAGTCGGGCAAAGCCAATGTCAAGGAAAAATACCTGAGAGCTGCTTGCGGTGGTCATTCCGCTACCACGAAAATAGTGTCCTCTATCAGGCTTAAAGGAAAATAATAGACCTGTCTGGCGTCTGGTGTTTCTGGCCCAGTCAGGATTGTTTTTAGTGACACCACAGTGTTCTACCTCTCAGCAACTAATTTGATGACTATGATGGATGAAGCTGTTCAAACAAAACCCAAATTGTAAGAATGTTTTCCTCCGAGGCAGCTGACGCTCAGCATGTCTCTTTCAGAAATAACAGCACTACTGTATGAGTTGCTGTTGTGGCAGAATGGTACTAATTTCCACAGTGACTTTAATCACTGACAGCAAGAACTGGGTTGCATTGAGCTCAGAACGCAAAACACCACAGACCCGAATCAAACACGAACCCACTGGCAAACTCACCGCCACCAAAGAAACACAACAGAATCCAAAACGTGAAGTGAAAACACGCAAGTTCCCAAAGAGAATAAAACCACAGTGAAGCTGACAGAAAAGAAAGCTGGGGCTCCCACACACTCAACTCTCAGCATGCAAAGTGACAGAGGTTGAGAAAATATGTGTCAGAGAAGAAAAGAGCCTGTCTGGAGACACAGGAGATGCCTCGCTTCTCTTTCTTAAGCAGACACACACACATGCACATGTCAGGTACAAGTTCAGGAATGTGAAACTTAAATGAATAAATTAAGCTGCACCAAACAGCTTCTGCAGGCTACATATAGGACGCAGCAACGTTTATGAATGTACGTATGTGTACATTTATGTAGACATATATGTGTGTCTGTGTGTGTGTGTGTGTGTGTGTGTGTTACCTTTTTCTTTCTCTTTCTCTGTTTCACTCGTCTTTTGGCTCTTTTCCTGTCTGCAGACAAAAACACAGAAAGGCTGTTTAAGCACTTATTGAGTCTGTTGAGCCATAATTCTACCTGTCAAACACACAATTATGCACAATCATTCATGTGCACACACTTACTCTTGTATTCTGTGTGCTATATGGTACATTGGCTTTTCAATGAGTGACCAAAACACACCCTGTGGATGTTTGACACTATACACACACATCAGTAGATGGATGAGTTCAAGGATCAGTTTTATACTTACTAAAGAAAGTCATCTTTTTAAGTACTTTTGTAAAAAAATAGGCCTCTGCAAACTTAAAACAGCTGCTTCTCAGCTCGAGGACAGCAAATAATAGTTTTACATTGTGCAAAAATGTTTCAACGCTACCGTGTCTTCACCCCGTAAAAGACTTCTGACAGTCTCTAAACAGTGTACTTCAGCCCCCTTTTGTACTCTGGCTGTTTGAGTTGTATTTTCTTAAAATTATACTGATAACCCACAAAAATTATGACCACTCCTGCCCAGTATGCCATCGGTGCTTTGCATGCTGCCAAACCAGCTCCGATCCACAGAGGCATGAACTCTACAAGACCTCTGAAGGAGCCCTGTGGTATCTGGCAATAAGACATTATCAGCAGATCCTGTAAGTTCTGGAAGTTGTGGTTGGAGCAGACGTGACTCAGAGTTGCACATCCCCCCCAACCCCCTGTTGCCACTTGGCAATGTCATCACTTGCGACCGGAAGCTCCCCACGAGCCCTGCCGTTTTTGAGATGCTTCAACTCAGTTGTCGAGGCCGTCAGTCTCACAAAAGAAGCCAAGAAAAATAATTTCTTTGATATGGAACGAGAGTTCAGCAAGTGGCTTGCATGCAGAAAAAAAAACAAGAACTTGGATGCTGAACAATGTAAAATTTGAAATGTTTGGCTCTAGCAGAAGGCAAAAGTGAAACACGGTGGAGGTTACGTGCACGTTTGAGGTTGGATTTCTGTGAGTAAAGTTGGAAATGTCTTTGGGATGAGTGGTTTTCTTAGTGCAGAGAACTACAGCGGACAGATTCACATCCATGACACCGTACTATCAGGAGGACCGATTGGTCGCCAATTTATTTTTGCAGCATGACCGCCAGCTCAAACTCATACAGCAAGTAATAAAGAACTACCTTCAGCACCAAGAACAAACCTCAACATCATAGAGTCCACCCAGGATCACATGAAGAGACAGAGGACACTGAGACACACCCAAGCACAAAGGCCACTGTTGTGTCTCCATCACTTCATGGGACATTACACTGACTTACTTGGTTACTTGCTCTTTCTATGGCTGTTAATGGCTGATAAAAATTGTGAAGTGGGGCGCACCAGAAAGAGTTTGAGAATCACTGCCTCACATGTTCCTAAACTTTGAAAGAAGCAGGGTTCCCCACACGTCTTCCATCAAAAAGCAATGAATCTGGTGCTTCTCATCTCCAGCACATAAGACTGCAATATGTACAAAAAACATGATTTATGCTTTGCCTGACATTATGTACAGACTAACCACGGCTCTGCAGCATCATTAAAGCTCTCCCAGAGGTGCTGACATCAGAAACCGTGGAGCCCTTTGGCATTAATGAAGAGCTGAATTTGTCATGTTTCCTCTAAGTTGTCAAACTTGACAGATATTTATAGCTGTACTTGTGTAACTTTAACACAGGCTTGTTTCATCTCTGACATGATGCTCGCCGTCTGACATAAAGGAATTGCTTGATTTGTCATGTTTCCTCTGGTTTGTCACCTCTGACAGATGTTTGTTCTGAGGTTATTTGTACGTTACCTCTATTACTTAAAGAGAGATCTGTGTTGTGTTGTTTCTGACATGGTGTTGGGGATGTGTCCTTGGATTGATCATCCCATAGGTTTGAAATTCCTGTTCAGCAATCATCCATTCGTAACTGTACACCTAGTTTAGGGTGAATGTCTTTGTCCAGTTTGACTCTAATGAAGACACAGTCGTGTATTTAGGTCCCCTTTATACTCTTCTTCACCTTAACTTTTGCTTGTGTCCCTAAAAAGAGGTGATCACCCACAGTAGGACTGTGTAAACAGACAGTTAGTCCTAAGAGAAAGAGTAAAGCAAGTAGTCGCACACACGCAGACAAACAGACTGACCTGTTTAGGGTACAGAAAGAAAACTACTTGTACTCATTTGTCGGTGCAGAAGTGTTTTAATGAGCAGAGCACTGTTGTGCTTTAATGAGTACTGGTATGTTTTAATGAGCAGAGCGATGTCACAAAGCCTTGACTTAAACTGACAATATCACTTTGTGTACGTCTCATTACTAAATGAAAACTCAAGCAGAACACACAAACCGCCAACAACAGACAGCATCAAACCACATCGCACTGCTTGTGACAGTATTCTCACCCCTTGGACTCTCTTATCACCTGTTGGTTTTTGCATGTCATAGCTTCAGGCCAGTTCAAGGCTCCTGCATGAAGGAAATGAACCCCGACAGCCGACAGCGGACTCGCACACAATTCTGTTCATATCACAATAGGTACTCTGCTACACAGACGGCCTCATTTAGCTTCATGTCAAACGCGGAAAAGTCATGAGGCTACCGTGGATATTTCTGAAAGGCCATGACTTTGCTTTTTTTTTTTACAGGATATTACAGGTACACTGCAAAAACTCAAAATCTTACCAAGTTTATTAATCTTGTTTTTAGTCAAAATGTCTCATCCCACTTGATTTGAGATAAATTCACCTAACAAGTAACATTTCAGCAAGATAGAGGGACTTGTTTTAAGACAATGCATCTTAAATATCTGGTTATGTCAAACAATCTTGAAATTATCTTGTTTTGAGTTGTATTTTAGAAGAAACAAGGCTAATTTGACATTTCATATATTTGTAAAGCTGAGGTGTTATTTGTATAAGATAGATAATAAACTTTACTTAATTCAAGTGAGAAAGAGCTATGCTGATAAAAGGAGGACAAGTTTATTTTTTGAGGGTTGAGTTACAGTTTGAAGACACCATTTCTTTTAGATCAGATAAAAATGTACATCCTCAAACCACATGCACACAATTAAACAGTGAAATGAAGACTTACAAAAGGTTTCAAATGAGCAGTATTTACTGGTTTGTATTGAAGGAGTTACGTGCAATGATGTCAGTGAGCTCATACTTAATTGGGATGCCATTTTTAAAGGTTAAATAGTAGTATGCTGTATGATCAACAAGCTTTCCAGCATCTACAAAAACATTGGCTTGAGCAAGATGAGGAACTTCCACCTCATGAGCTAAATAATGCTCATTCCATTCTATTGTGGAAAGGGGTTGGCATTCAGAACAATACACTGACCCACTTACAACATAGATATTTTTCACAAGTCCAAACTCTGGAACATTATTGATGACATTATAGATAGTCTTTCAACTTTTGTACTTATTTCCATGTTGCATAATCCACGATACAGAGACAATATAATCCACTTCCTCAGCTCCAAAAAAGTCCTTCATCTTCCCCTCAGACACAGGGCCCATTTCCAGTTCACTCGAAAATAGTGGATGTTTCTCATGCACATTTAGACTACATTCATATAGTTGGTTGTGCTTAACAAGAGATTTACAAATGTTCTTAAAACTACTTTTCAAAGCCCACTGCTTGAAAAAACAATGCTCGGACTCAAAGCGCATGCACATATGCCTCACCGTGGGGCCAAGTGCGTGGATCTGTGAGGGGAGATGCAAAAGGTAATGCTGATTAGGTATGATATTCATATCTGGAAAAAGTAGTTTGAAGTCTTTCAGATGTTGCTCTATTAGGAGGAGAGTTGAGAGAGCAATAATAATGACAATAATAATGCATCTTAAATTTTGTACTCAACATGAACGGTAAAAAAGCAAATATCTACTTTTGAGTTAAAAACACCTACTTTTAGGTATAGCTGGCTTATCCTAAAACACAACACCTCTAAATGCTGTCATAACAGGACTAAATATAAGGATTTCCAGCTCAGTGTAAAAAGGCATTACATCTCAAATTGCTTAAATTAATCCTTGTAATCTTGTTTCAAGTACAAGACAGTCTTAAATCTAGAGAAGTGCCACATAACATAACTCAAAATAAGCTGAATATATCTCAAATGGAGAAGTTGAGATGAAAGTTATTAAAGCAAAAATCTAGTTTTGAGTGAAAAAAATACTATTTTTTTTTTTTAGCATTTGTGGCTTATTCCAAGACACCAATCTTGAAAATACTGGTAAAATATAGCTTAAAATAAGTTGTACCTGCTAATTTCAAGATCTCAATATTCTAAATATCACGTCTTATTTTAAGAAATCTTACCAAGCAAATTTTCACTTGCTCTATTGGCAGATTTTTTCACTTACTTCAAGGTAAAAGTACCTTGATGTAAGTTTTTTTTTCTTGTTTTGAGAAGGGCATTTTTTCCAGTGTACAGATCGGACTGTAGCACCGTGTCAGTGTAAGATGTGTCGAACACAGCGGCCAGACACTTTCCTAACTGTAAATGTACAATTCGAAGGTGAGGAAAACTCAGCCATTCTTATTGTTAGGTGATGATACACTGATGAAAATATAATTAAGAGCTTTATATTCCATTTCAGCTAATTGATCCCCCTAAAGCCTACACAGTGGACCTTTAAGCAGTGCTACAGGTTAGTGGAGAGAAAACAACCAGCTGTGACAAAGTTGCCAATAGAATAACAGTACCAATATGCTTATAAGGGTACCTACTTGTGTCTTAGGTTAAAATCAGCAGCAGCAGTGTTGGAACGATGGATGCAACCCGCCCTGTAAAACACAAACCAGTAACCATGTAGTGAAAAGCAAGAAACACAGGAAAAAAAATTCTATTATACCACATATAAAATAGAAAAAGAAGAGAAAGTGACTCGCCATTATTTTAACACAACAGTAGCATCATTTTTGAAAGTTGAACTCAATTTCATGCTGGTAAAGCCATACGGTAGCGATATCTGTCAATTCAAGTTTAAAGTGGGTTTATTATGCATAACCCTAACTATAACCCTAACCCACGGTATTAGTTCTGTGATGAGAAAGAAATAAAACAGATTATTATTTCTATTTTAAAGGCTGCGTCAGCCTGTAACTCTGTGGCTGAACTGGCCTCTCCTGCAGTACCTGTAGTTAGTTACCTGCAGTAAGAAACAAGCTGCCATCAATTTGGTGTGTGATCATTTCGCCACCTGAAGTCACTTGATTTAGTTTCTTTTTCAGTTTTTTTGACGAAAATGTGTTTATTTGTTCACAAAAGACTGTATATAAAAGATGGACGAAGTGAAACCAATGCAGAAGTACCTTAATACCTCTAACAGCCAGCAGGGGGCGACTCCTCGGGTGTCAAAAAGAAGTCTGATTGCATATGAAAAAATAAACCAGCTTCTCACTTGATTGGCTATCTCAGTAAACATTTTCCCGAACAGTTCATCATCTCAATCACTATTTCCAAGACTTCTCGGACGCAGGATGTTTCCCATTTAGTAAATTATGGTTCCATTTAGAATTAAATAGAGTAAATGCTTGAGAGTTGGTGTATGAACTCAACCAAACACAGACTGAAAATGCACCTTAGATAGACAGCAACTCAAAGAAAATGTGGTGGCTGGGAATACAAGTCTGGTTTTTGGACTTTTGCTGCTCTTTGTTGGTGAGGTGATAACAACCTACTGAATCTATAAGAAGGTGGAGGAGGCTCCGACTAACAGCTATTAAATAGACTGATTACTTTCAAACAAGGTTGTCAATGCTAGTGACGGTGCCCAAGCTATCTTATGTTCTTTCTTCTCGAAGAATCTAAATAGTCCAATATCTCATATTTGTAACAATGGCCAGTTTTCCAAAATTGGAAGATTGTGCTTTTATATAACTCTTAACAGGTGCTTGTTTAACCAGAGTACCAACAGACACACATCCTTTGAACACCACCACAGCCCTTGTATGTGATTAATGCACATTTTCAGCCACATTGCCTTTTGTATTGACACAATCAACTTCTTGCACACAACATGCCACCCACCTTACAAAGTCTGTGTATAATAATATACTAACCGGGTGAGTTTGCTGGCCGCAGGTGTTGTGCTGTGTGTTAAAGCTTCAGCTGCAGAGCTGTCACTGTTGACTCGCTGCCTCTGGGAAGAACTACAGCCGAACAGAGAAGAAAACAAAGTCATTGAACAAACTCCAGGTCAGCCAGAGAGCCTGCAGCGAGGACTTGATGTTTCCTGTTCTGAGGGAAAGAGTCAGAGGTCTTCAGCATCAGGAACACATGCTGTGGAGGTGTTCTGTACCAGGTATGAAAAATGTGATGTACTGACTTTCCTGAGATCTCACCGTTTTTCTCTGAGTGAAATAGCTTCCCCAAATGAATGTGTTTTCGATAAATCTTCTAAACTTTACCATAAATACTAGTTTCTTCAAAGGAATATGCAGCGAATCAGGATTCATGCTCTAAAAAGATTCTCACATAATTCACTTGCTGAGGCATTCATGGCTTTATCCTTGATGACAATAGCTCAGCAAGATTTGTGTTTCAAAACCTTTTTATTGTCTGTCTTCAAATGTCAAAGGGATGAGCCACTACATTTTTTTTTTCAACCTCCTTGTATTCACTTTTGTGGTACTTTCGGGTCCTTGCAATAGATACAGTTAAAGAGTTGAACGCTGAGATAATGAGCATGAGTGAGATAAAGCAGAGAAAAGAAGAAGGACAAGCAAAGCATTCTGAAGGATGTTAAAGTAGGACAGGCTTAGGGCGAGGCAAGAAGAAGTACAATTCTGTGAATTTTCAAAACATAAGAAACTGGTAGCAGCCGAGGGAGTCTGTCACAAAGTCCCAGAACTCCACCACCAAGAAAATAAGCTGCAGACGCCGTGTGTTGTTTAGCAGAGCAGAGCAACAATGATGAGATACCATCTGGTCTCTGAGCAGGGTTCATAAGGTCAGTATGTTCTTTAACTCAGGGCTCGAAATCATCTCCTGACGGATTTTTCTGAGTACATATATGAACATCTTTCCAACAACATATGCTCACATTCACCTGACAGGAAACAGAGTAATGGCTATCCTCTAGAAGCAGATGTAGGTTAAGGTTGTTAGAGCTGTAAAACCTCTAAGGGAGGAGGTCAGGGTCGATGGCTGGGTCTACAGAGTTTTTTTTCTACGAGCACATAACAGCATTGTGTGAACCCATTTGGCTTGAATGTAACACACGTTGATTTCTATGTTAAAGTCCTGCTTTAAGTACGACGGGAAAAACGCTGCAGCTGCTGACAGATAACCTTCATTATTAAATGACATGATAGGCGTCTGACTACTGGGTGCTTTTTGTTTATCTTACATGCTGTATTTATATTTGTGCATTTAGAGGCTTTGGTTCTGTTAATTTGGAGCTTACTTTAACACAGTGAAGCATGAAACCACCTGTTCAAGTGAGATGCGTCCATCTAAAGTTGTGATGATGCTATCAGCAGCGTAAATATGACACTGAGCTATGAGTCCAAACCTTCGACCAAGCTTCCTGTGTCAACCATCAATCGGATCAACAAATGATCTATTTTCTCAAGTCGATCCTTCAAGGTCCACTTACTCTCTTGTTCAGGAGCTCTTGACTGTATCACATGGGCCTGTTGCCATGGAAATCTAAATGTCCACCTTTCCATAATTCTTGCTGTAGGATTTTTTTTTTTAATCCACACCCACATAAAACTTGTATATGTGACCTTTTTGTGTCATTTAGGTATAAGTACTCACTAAACCGCAGTGGCACCGTGATAAACACAGCTCTCCTGTGCAAAGTCAAGCATCTGGAATGTGATTAATGTTGTTCAGTCTGGTTATCCATGTGTTCATGCACTGGGAAGTCGTTTCTGATGTACACTTTTAACATTGTTCTTTTTTCTTTTTCTCCTGAAATACACCTCATTAATTTTTCAGACGTTCCCGGACATGTGAGACCCTGATTGCGTCCGCCCTCAAAAGACTCTCACTGGATGCCGACAGTGTAAACTGACAGTATATGCGAAGCGATCGGGTCAGAAATCAGCTTAAAAAAAACAAACTGTTTTGTGTGTAGGTGTCTTTCAGTGTGTTTGTCAGAGAGACAGAGGGACGGAGAGAAACAGAAGAGAGGGAAGTAATTATAGTGGGAGGAATAACGCTCACCTCTGGCCCTGCGTGGGCAAACTGCTACACTGTTTGTGCGATTGTGCGAGTGTGTGCGTCTAAGTACAGTAGATTGGTGTGACTCTCGAGTGCTCTGACATGCATTACGTTCCTCGCTCCATCCACTGTTTTTCTGACTCTATCTTCCTCCCAAACCCATCTCTCCCTCACTCTGCCCCTGCCTCTCGGTCTCATCTCTCCTCCTCATCCTCCCACTCAGTGCACTCAGCATTGCAAATCAGCCCGCCAACACACACACGTGCGTGCACACACACAGACACACACACACACGCACACACACACACACATAGCCAAAGGGAAGTGTTGTCAGGATCAGCAGGTTGTGTTGCTCTGCCTATACTCACATTGTACCTGTTACTTAATTTATTCCCTCTTTCTATTCTGCATGCTAATCTTTATATGTTCACATTTTGTATCAGCACCTCAGATGCCGGGAGAAATCTGTGATCCTGCGAGCGTTTAAAAAAAAAAAAAAAAGTATTTCCCCACACTGTTGTGTTGATGTTTTGATAAGTCAAAGTGTTGACGGCTGAGACACATCAGATAATTCAAAAGTAAATCCAGTTACACGCTCCAAACCAAACAACCCGTCTGCACTTACAGCTGTTAGTGAGGGTCAATTAACTTTAGCGATTCTATCAGTGCAGTGGATCCACTCGTGTTTGGACTAATAACCACCATTCATTACTGTAATGGTGCTGAAGAGCACTGGTGCTGATGGGCGAACACATCACATACATTATGCGATCAGGAAATAAGAGAGGCTGTCGCATTAACATGTCGGAGGAACAACATGACATAGTTTACTGCTTTTATTAACTGAAGTAATCACATCTCTCATGTTTATGCGCACAATATCGCTGGCACCACTGGAAAAACATGAGCCTGTTTATTAAAAACACTAATTTTTACAGTCATCCAGCTGCTGTTTTATCTGTGTCTTCATAGGAGGCGCTGCAATGTGCAGTTTTTGCTGATCGTCTTGTCATTTATGCAATATATATATATATAAAATCATATATATATATATATATATATTTTTTTTTAATGAGAAGTTTTCCCATTTTTTTAGTACTCCCAAATGAGGACATTTCAAATTAGACTTCTTTTTTTTTTAATTTCTGTTATCTTGAGTGACTGTAGTGACAACACACATTTATGGCAAAATACTGAAGGTGAAGAATTTAAAAAGTTGAGTATCACTATGAAACTTCCCCAGCTGATTACTTACATTAAAGCAGCTATTTTTTGTATTACAAGTTTTCTGAAAATGTATGTTAATATATGCAATGATCTCATTAAAATTGTGTACATTTTCATTCATTTCCAGAACTGAAATCTGAACTTTGGATAAAGTCGTGTTCAAAATTCTTCTTTTATTTTGTTGACGTACTACAGCCTGAGGTTTGTCTCTTTTTATTGCTCCATAAATCAGAAAATATTGCCAAGAGCTAGGGGGGAAAAATACATTTTCGACGTGTTTTTAGGAATAAAGTGTTCATAAATCAGGCTGTGAATGATATATGAACAAATGTTCTTTAAAAGGAAACCTAGAATACGTATAGAAAAAAAGGAACGTTTGGTTTGTAGAATTTGATGCTGAAGTGGAGATTTATGGCTCAGAGTAGAAGAAAACCAAAAACTTTTAAAAATTCAATGCATTTTTATGTGTAAAACTGTAGGTTTAAAATGTAACTAACAGATATAAACATGAAGCCTTTGTTTGTTACTTACATTAGTCTATTACACAGCATGCCCAGTGATGCTGGATAATAGTATCACAACATTAATGAATTATTTACTGTTGTTTTATCAAGAAAGGGGTCCACTGAGAATAAAACCACTCATTAAACTATAATATCATGAAGAAACAGTAAAAATCTACAGGTTTAATTTGCCTACATTTCTTTTTATTTTCGTAAAAATCTGCACAGTTAAGAGTCTTATAGCTGTTGCTTTCTAATAAAAGTGTGCAGTGATGCCTTGTTTTCTATTATAATTAATTGAATTTATGGCTATTTAAACATAACAGCTATCAGGGGAGGTCTGAGTGTTTAGGGTTCAGATCACAACAGCTCCACTTCCTGTTCGACTCCTGGCTGGTTGGAACTTTTGCTGCGTATATATCTCCGCTTCGTTTTTCAGCCTTAATATTGCAGAGCTTGCGTTGTGTTTTCAAGCCTGTTTTTTTGAGTGATTCATTCAGTCAGCGTTTGATTAGTCTGTTTAACTGATGGGGTTTCTGAAGGCTCCCGCCGTGGGTCCTCCTGTGTTTTTCCTGCCACAGAGGAAAACGAGTTCACAATATTTTTACAGCACGAGGAGAAAATCTGTCACACAAGCGTGTACTGCGGCTGTCACAGATGCCGAGCCGTTTGAAATGCTTAAACCGAACCTTGAATGCACCTGCAAGAAATAATCCCAGAGTTTCTCAGTATTTCAGTTATTATAGGAACACTTATTTCAAGCATACCGCTGACAATAGTCTAGATTTTTTAAATAAAAACAAATCTGCAGAGCCAAACTAACAGTAAATGAGGCCTGCAAATGCCATAAAGCTCCACTGTCATCTTAAGACTATTAAAACTCTCCGCTGAGCCACATTGTTGCACTGGATGACACATTCCTTCATTACGACGAACAAACACACCACATAGTGTAAAGATTGCGGATTATTCCACTGCGTATAAGATCAGATAAAAGTTTCTTCAAAAGTTTCTTCAAATGAAGCTACAGAAACCATCAAAAGCTCCGATGAAACTGTCTGTCTTGAAAACCATCCCAGCAAAGACGCATACAGTTTTCCCTCCGCAGCAGAGGACGAGTTCTTCAGAGTTAGCAGCCTCAGAAATCACCAATTAACAGCAGCTCCGATTAGAGCCCACATCAATGTTTCTCGCAGTTCAAGCAGCATCTCAACTGTTGGAGGAGAATGTGGGAATCAGGACTTCATGCTGCAAAGAAACCACGACTGAGGAGAGAACTGTGTGGGACAAGAAACTGTACATTAGACCAACGGACACCTGGACTTTGGTCTGATGAGTCCAGATGTGAGATTTTGCAGCAGTGGCTTTGTGACACAGACTATGTGTGGTTTCTTCTTTCAGGCATGGAGGAGGATTGTTGGTGATTTATTCAGAATTTAAGGCAACCAGCGTGGCTACAATGACATCCTGCAGAGACAATCCATCCCATCTGGTTTGAGCTTAGTGGGACCATCATCAGTTCTTTAACAGATCAATGACCTCCAGGCTCTCAAAGTTCTATTTGACCAAGAAGCAGAGTGATGCAGTCAAAATCAACTGAGAGTGAAAAGTGAAGCAAATGCAGCCAACAAGTGCTCTGCATGCGTTGGAACTTCTTTCGGACGAAAGGTGACGACCTTGTGAAGCTGGTTGGAGGATGATGAATGTGAAAAGAAGGACACTTTAAAGAATATAAAAATCTAAACATGCTTGTTGCTTTGTTTAAGGCTTTTTTTTTTTTTAGTTACTAAAAAATTCTAAGATGTTTTTTTAAGAGTTTCCTCCATTGGCTCAACCTTAGAGATAGAAGCTCGGAGAGTTGCTGCTCCTTTGCGTCAAAAGGAACCAACTGAGGCTTTTTTTTTTTAGTAGGTTTTGCAGGTACGTCCAACTGGGAGGACCTCACTGGAGGGATCACATATCTCATCTGGCCTTGGAACACCTTTGGATCCCCCCAGAAGGAGCTAGAAAGCATTGCTGGGAAACAAGACCCTGCTTTGTTTGCTAGCACTGTGACCAAACCCCCAATAAGCAAAAGAAAATGAATGGATTTAGTAGTTTTGATGTCTTTTTGTATAATGTGGAGCAAACCCTTGAGTTAGAAGATGCGCCCAAACTTTTGACTGGTGCTGCATTTGTGAAGTGTTTGTAAAGATTACCATCTAAAGTAGGAAGCGGGTGCCTCAGGCGAACACACACTGGAAGATGCAAACACATCCTTGGCTTTGTTATTTCTGTAGGACTTCCTGACAGTAAAAAAAAAAATACAGAATAACATTAATTTTAATTTTTTTTTCTAAAAATGAGTGAACAGAGAACAAGAAGAAAGTCTTGATCTGTTTTTCTCTGTGTACAGCCGTTCTTATTCTGCCTTAAAGAGCATCATCAGACAGCTGCTCTAACAGGTTCCTGTAGGTGAGAATTTAATCTGTGTGAGTGTGTCTGTGTAAATATGGTTAAAAGGATTTCATATGGAGGAAGGGCAAGCAGAAAAAATGTGTTATCCATAGACACACACACCAAGAACACACACACAACCAGAACTAATATTATAGTAACACTGTTTCTCAAGAGGGAAAATAAACTGGAAAAAATGCAGATAAAAAAAATATTATTCATGCATTTATACACCTACGCACACACTTATACGCGTGCACAAACACACTTCGAAACGATGCACGTCATGCAGGCTTTGTGATCTAACAGGCTCCATAAACTTGACAACACAAACTGTAAACCTCGCTGAGATTTGCCACGGCTGCTCAGCCAATCAGAGCCACCCGAGCTCCTCTCACAATAGCAGCCGTATAGATTGATGTCATAATGCAACTTGACATCCACTTTCCTGCATCTCTGTTTTATGTCTCCCTACTCTGGAGCAAACTTCAGAGTAACTATAAAACCACACACACATTTACGGTATGTTTAATGAGGAAGATGGTGAAGATGTAACGGGGGAGACAAAGACTTTGCTGGAGGTCTGATTAGAGGAGTTTTCCCTACAGATAACCAAAAACGTATGAAGTCACAAAACTTTCCTTCATCATCCAGTCAATAAAAACCATGACATGACCTGAGACTGTCGATCGCTGATGTGGAATCTCAATGCCACCATTTAACTGGAGACACAATAACACACCCACCTGTATCCCTGTTATAGAGGCTCTGCTTGTTGCTAACCCTTCAGACTCCAGGCAGTTTCTAGGTGCTCTCGTTTTTTACTGTAACATAAAGTCCTGCACCTCCATGGAAACAGCACAATCATGACCAGAAGTAGAGAAATCAGAAAAGTCTATTTTGGACTATAACAAAGTTCTAATGCCACGAATCACAAATAAAATAAAACCAAAAGTTGGAATATACAAGTTACCTGTGACTAGAAGCACCATGAATATCGGTGGATAAACCAAAATACCGGCTGACAAGATGACCACCAGTCTGCACAAGCTTGACACGAGGAATATTCCAGCATAATAACAACTCAAAGAGCTCATATAGAAGACAAAACGTGAAAACTATGAGCAGATATGTATCCAATAGAACCGACTTGAATCCAACAGAACACCTTTGGGGCATTTTGAAGATAATGGTGCAGCAACACAAACCCTCCAGCAAAGAGCAGCTGAAGAACAGCAAAACAACTCAAATCTGTGCAACTCTGGTATCGTCCATACTGAGGTGGATTGAGTCTGTCTTAAAAAATTAAAGAGGATATAAGTATTGACTTTTGTTGTGCTAAATTTCAACTTCGTGGCCTGTATTTTTAATATAGCAAATCTAAACTGTTCGCTTTTAATGTTACAGGAGATCAGATACCTACTGTTCAACTTAGAGGTAATGCATCTACTGTAAGGTGATTTGAATCCTTTGATATTTAAGCAGTATTGCACAGGGATGCACCTACTTCTGTTGCATGTGCACATACAATAAATTTGCAACAGCAAATATGTTTTTAGAAAGATTACGTTTTATGTCACAAGTATGTAATGAGGATGCAAACCTTATTCTCTCGTGTGAAAGTCAAGCGCTTTATACGCCCAACCACCTCCATACAATTTCTTTGAACTGTACTGGATTAGGAAAACGTTTGCCAGGAAACATAATCCAGGCAGCAATTATATTTCCTTTGCAACACATTTCACATATCCATTTGATAGTGTATAATCGCAATTTTTAGGACGCGGGGTTGCAAAAAAAAATGTATGCAGAAAGAAGCCAGTGTGCACAGCAAATGACATGCACTTGATTTTGGATGTGGGACTTTTATTCAAAGACCTTTACAAATTTCCTCTCATTCATCTATTCACACACAAACACAGGCTCACTAAGCGCAAAATGCGGAGAGCTCAGATCATTGGGAGCGATTTCAGTGTGTTGCTTGGACACACTGATGTGTAAACGGTGTCGGCAGGACAGAATTGCGCCACCCACCCTGTGATTAGTGGACAACCTACCCCACTGTGTGGGCGTATTCAGGTGAAACAGGTACTTTGATCAGTATGCAACTGCAAAAAGGCTTAAAAAGAAGATAAATCTGACTGAGTGGTGGTTAATGAATTCAAAATTCTGTTCTCATCACTGTGGAGCAGCTGAGCCAATCAGAGTGATTAAAAAAGGCTCAACATTTGGACGAGATTTAACTTTTAGAATGAGAGGTACACATGACCACACCTTTAGCTTTTATTTCTGATGTATCGCATGTCATAAACCATCACATTGTAGTTTAATATACAAAAAAAACATATCAACTGTAATGCATTTGGACAATAAAAGTCACTGTTGGTCAGACCTGTAGCTGTTTGTGTATTGGTATCTTTTAAAGTCCTGCTCTTCTGATTTACATATTTTATTTGCTATTATTATTACATGGCATATTAAAGTAAATTCAACTGCCTGCACAAGTGTGTTATCTTTTGTGTGATGTTTAAAAGCTTAAATTGTAAGTAAGACAGAAGTAATTGATAGTTTTGAACCATCACACACCTTTATTTGATTCATTTTGTACTTAATTCTAAACTGAAGATAATATTAACATTGAATTTAAATTAAAAAGTGGCCTCCGCAGCTACGACTCACAAAAACACACTGTGTGCATCCTTGACAAACCTGCTAAATGTATTTCCTTCCTCATTAATGGTACTAAACACGTTTCAATAATCCTCCTTATCTAGCAATACAAATATCTAAGAAATACGGCCAAACGTATTATCACTATCAACAAGTCATTTCACGCTGCTTTATCTGGGTGAACCTGCCACCCCTGCTCGAGCCACATGCTAATTTCAAGGTCAAGAAATCACCAAACTGTCAAAGCACAGTTTGCGATGGTCACAAAAACAGTGTTCTGGGAACGAGATGGAGCATTGTAAGTACTTTGCCTTGTGGTCCAGCAGAGGCTTCTCCTAAAAGTCACAGTCGGCTTGTCTTTTATCCGTCAGTAAAGCAGGTTAATCAGCAGCAGTGGAGGGGGATGGTAGCCAGTAGCCTGCATAACCACGACGCTGAAGCTCCACATCATAGACGGTAAAAGAAAAACGCTGTCTGCAGGACAACCACAGCAAACCACACAGCGTAGGTACCAGAAACTAGTGGAGCAATGTCAGCTGTTACACCTCAGCAGAAGCTTGTACATCGCACGTAAGACCCATTTATATGAACATGCTGCCACTGTTTCAGGAAGAGGTTTTCAGGATGAGGCCAGTGGTAAGTCTTGGTTACAATATCGCGTAGATGTGCACATTGAGAGCTGCGTGAACTTTATTAGATGTTGTATATTCATATTCTGCACATGCACACTACTGCCTGTGTATCACAAAATTTGCATCACACATTTGGTCAGTCGACACTCGCAAATGCAGAAAGTCTGACATCAGCCTGATCGATTCTGGTTCTATAAGTAAGTAGGGGCTTCATGAAGGTCAATGTAATGCAAATTTCATTGCACCAGTATGCATGCGTGGAATAAACGGCGATGTCTGTGGCTGTTCGTGTGCGCGTCCACAAGGGAGTACAATCATCGCTTAATGGGCTGGCGGTGCAGAACACTATATAAGTTGTGTTAGAATTAATTCAAACAAAGTAGGTTTGAATTTCGCTTCTACTTGACTCTCAATGAGCGGTCTTAAGAGGAAGCTTGGATTTTTTTGCCGAAAAGGTCGGGGTCAGACAAGAGATCAGAGTTCTGCCTGTTACTGTTAAATTCAACCTCGACTGAGACGCGATGAGAGTTTAGCGTTGGAGGAAATACAAAGAGTTCTATTGTGGCTCCATTTGCTAAATGTAAATGTCTCTGCAGTTAGTGAAATTTTTCACACCGTTTCTTCCCTTCCTGCCTTGTTATCGACACACTCGCAGATGAACGTTTCCCACTGCCGGTGCCTTTACTTTGCAAGTAAGTTTCATGATTCAGTTGCTTTTCTTTAGGTTTGCTTCCAGAAGTTTCAATATTGCAGCAGTTGACCCATTTTTCTGTAGGTATCTGTCAAAATCTTTGCAGACTGTGAAGCGCTGTGATTTACTATCAGTGCTTGCCAGAAGACTATGTATTTGTGTACAGAAGAGATTTCCTCTGGAAAGTCACGGCAGTCCTTGATGCCAGTGAGACAGAAGGTGAAAAAATGGTCACTGTGTGTTTGAGCTGTTTGAGAGTTTTGGGTGCCTTCAAGGACTAGCTAGTCAGGTCAAGTTAAACTGGTGCTGATGCTGACAGTGACTGACCTACCTGCTGTTCACCAGGCCAGAGGACAAAGGGTTAACCAGATCGGGCATGGCTGAGGGGGAGGTGCCTACTGTTGCCATAACAACCAGCTCAGGATCCAGGATGAAGATCTCTTCCTGGGAGATTTCAGATACGTAGTTGAGATGTTCCTGAAAGTTTCAACAAACAGCCAGAAGGTATTATTAAAACCCTGCTGAGAAGAGGATATTCGTTTTAAGTTTCTTATTACATGTAATTAAAAAATCTTAATTAGCCAACAGCAATTAGCAGAATAAATGGCTGCAGCAAAGACTAGCTGTGCACAGTTTGGCTGCTTATTTATCTTTGGTTCTACATTCATTTCAAAAACATTTTATATACTATGCTTGATTTGATGGATGGTTCTTCAGTAGAATAATGCAAGATAAACAAACTGCCATTTATATCAATGTAACCAGTCTAATATTAAATCATCAGATTTTGTTCAAATGTACTTTGAGTGGTGGGAAGTTATTTAGGGAAGGATTTTTCTACATTTCTAGTCCGAAAACAAAAGATACAGTTCTGGCACTTTATTGTTCTATACTTTTCAATTTATTACAAACTGAAATGTCCATAAAAAATACAATTATACAGCAGAGAAGACTGTAACGAGTCAGATTAAGGAGACTCACTAAGAAATGTTACTCCAGTTTAAACAGGAGCTGAAGTTTATTTGTTGCTTCCAGATGTTTAGGAGTCTTTCCTCTGAGTTTATGAAATACTTGCAGCAGGATCCATATGAGCGTCTCCAAAGGTAGAAAGTTAGATATATTCACACATGTGGAACAACAGCCAGAACATTATTTATTACTTGTAGTTATAAATTATCCCCAACATGGAGACCGGATGGATCAGGATCTAACAGAAGCAGCTAAATTATTTGCTACATAGCAACTGTCTTCAAGTCGAGCAGTCGGGAAATTTGTATTTTACTGTTGGTAAAGTAGTTTGATTGTCATCCCACATGGACAGAATTTTCAGTGTTTAGAAAATCATAAATAAACTAGGCTGCTATTTGTTTTGACCATTTGAAAAGCTGCTACTAGTTTAGATTCATTCCATTATCATACATCACTTTGTGTTCTGTTCAATCTCATATAAGAACTATCACACATGTACTGTGGCTCCGTCTGTCACCTTCTGAATGAAGACGTAAAGAACATTAAGAGTGAATGATGAAGCAGTAGTGTTACATATCACATGTCTAAAAGTGGCTTAAAATGCCTGACCAATCCCTGTGACACTAAAATATTTTAAAATCCAGCTGTCGTAAAGCAGCTCAGCCATCTCCCACAATGTCCTAAAATCTTAATAAGCTTTAACATGGTTGTCAGATCTGTTAGGTAAACAGAATTTGTCTTGATTGCAATAAAAGACGCGTGACCACGGACTCTGGGATAATCTGTGAAAATGAGGTGATAAATAACCCACAGAACACAAGGCTACATACTGCATGGAAGTACGATTCTTTGTGCAGAAATAAACGCCTGTCCGCTCAATTACAGGATCCATATGTAACTGAATGGGGCGATACTGCGAGCGCTGCTCTCAGAGATCACATTTTTGATGAACTCACAGCTGCCTTAAAGTAGAGCACCTGCTCTCTGAAGAAAGTTTCTGCAGCCGCATTAAAGCGAGGGAAGGGTATAGAGGTATGGAGGTGTACATGGAAAAGACTAAGTGGCAGCGCAGCCTGTGCTTCGTCTCTGACAGTGAAAAACAGAAAAGAACTGAATATTAACAAGACGCAGTCGCCAGATGCACAATAGTGAACCACTTGTCAGAGTATTATGCCAAGTACACCTTCCCTGCGCTGACAATGGGAATAATTAAGCATCTGGCAGGAAACCAAACTGTGTTGACGCTAATGGAACAGTAGACATCTGCTTCCATTCCTGTAACATGAAGTTTGCCACACGGAAAGAAACAGAGGAGGGACAAGAGGGGTCACTTTCAGCGACATGTCCTCCTGACTGTTCAAAATCTGAGTTTGATTCATTTACGGAAATGCCTTTGAACGGTGTCCTCTACTTGTCCGACTGCTGAAATCACAACGGGAGAAGCTCTGAGCTGATGAAACTGTTGGTAAACTCATCTTTGTCAGGAAATGTGGGCAGCATTGACGGATTATTTGCTACCAGAGTTTCGTCTTTACGCAGAACTCTATCGGAGAAGCAGGTTGTTTTAGTCATACGCTGCCCACAAGAAAGACTGTAAATTCTTAGGTGTATTAAATAGAATTTAATCAGCTTACATGTACTTCTGGTGCCAAACAGGCAACTAAAGCCAGAGTTTGAGGTGTGCTTTCTGCTGAAACATTATATAACAGAGCAACATTTACCATCAGTTTATCTGGGGTTAGTGTCATTATAATGGAAAGCATGCTAACCAATTTCTATTCTGAGTGCAGCCGCCTCACAGGTGGTGTGGCTGACAGTGGGTCAGCTGAAGCCGAGTCGGGTCAGACCCTCTTACCTGTGCTCTGTCTATCCTGTAGAAGCGATCCGCTGTTGTAGCTGAAGAGACAAACAGAAACACAGTGTTAGCCATTGAAATACAACCTGTGGTAAAAAATGAATTATCACTCAATAGAAGCCTTCTTTAAATTCATCTTTTTGTAAAGCAGGTTGTTCCAGGCAATCATTAAAAGTTCTGGTGAAAAAAGCAAATAGCTTTCATCCTTGTTAACTCGTACATGTGCTGCCTCCCGCCTGCTGTAGCAATTATTCTGGGAACAACTGACAGCCTGCAGTGTAACAAGACAAGGCAATGTCACCACGCTGTGAGAAAGCACATTCAGTCAATCTATCTGTCTCCTACGCTCCGAAATAATGGAATCTCACTCCAACAGACAGCAGAGAAGGTCCATTCATTTTGTAAGGACTGCAATGGTGACCAGTGTGACTGCAGGTTTCTAGTAGTTTTCTGACTGTTTTAATTAGTTCACCTTTGCTCCGGGTGGTTATAATAAAGATGTTCCACTTTTGCGTTAATGAAGTTTTGTGTGTGCATCCAACAGCTATTGAAACCCTCTGAGCCCCCAAAACCCCAAACATGTTGTTGAAAAAATGACCGTTTATCAGAGCCAGAAATAACGCAAAGAATAATCTGATTTTCAACTTTCCATCACATGTGATGTGCAGTTCTGTTGTAAAAGCTGACCAAACTTAAGCTGGAAACTGTGATGTTAAATCCAACTGTGATGTTAAATCCAAATCACTTTTAAATATGTTGCAAAAATAAACTGTTTGCACTTACTAGTTTTTGTAAAAAATCACAACCTGTCAACACAATATGAAGCTGTTAGTGACTCAGCTGTGACTAATGGTCACATGAAAAAAAAACTCAGGCACTATTAAGCTGGATTGTGCACAACTGAAGGCTGTGTTTACACCACACAGAAGGAAACAAATAAAAACCTAAGTAGTTAAATATCCATCTAGTACATAGAGTCACCATTTCCTCAGTGTTGGTAACACCTGTGAGCACTTAGAAAAAAGGTTTGCATGCTGATTCCAGGTTTCTTAATTTTTTGTAAAATAAATAATGAAAGAAATTCACTGTTTTTTAAAAAAAAATGTTTTTATGATTTGTTGCAATTTAGGAAGGGGATGTGCTGATCAGGGTTTTTTCCTCCAATCTTAAACCTTTTGCCTTGATAATAAACACTTCAGTTATTGTAGATGAGGTGTATGAGCATCACCTCTTAGTATTTAATACTGTAGCGACCAGAGGACGCTGTTGGCAAGCAGAGATTATTGTGCTGGTTTAGCTAGCGACGGACACCATGATAAAGCCAGAGCTGGCATGTTTACTAAGAGTCCAGATTGACTAGGAAAGTATTAATATAAGCCAGAGTCTTGTTTGCGACCCATAATCATGTGTCTGTTGACTAAAACAACAATATCAGCACAGAACAAATGTCCACTGTGATTGATTTTTGTTATCAGTTAGTCAATAAGTAATTGATATTCCGCATTTATAAAGACAATTATTTAAAATTTGCATCTGTAGCATCCTGCCACAAACTGTGCTCTCCCTGTAGCACACCTGGGTGACAGCAGGAAACAGAGGACATGACAAGACTGGATCAGGACATCTCTAATGCACAAAGGACCTTTTTGAGTTTTCTCTTCGTCTTCATGGTTGTTCTGTTTTTGTAGAGGTGGAGGATTTTATGTTGTAGTGAAAAATGAGCCCACAGTGAGGAAAAACTGTGACAACCAAAGACTGCTTGGAGTTCAGGGGAGGACGCTGACACGAGACCTCTCAGTTGTTGCAGTTGAATATTTCCACATCACTCCGAAGAGGAAAATCAGTCAGGATAATTAACTCTAAACTGACCATATAGTTATCTTTTTTTTTAACCTATTTACTATTTTTACATATATATATTCCCTATTTTGTCTCTGTTGTTTTCTTTGAGCCTAATGCAATGTAATTTCATTCTCATGTGCACTGTACTGTGTAATGACAAATAAATAAAGTCTGATTGCAGCCACATACTATACTGGTGTTACTATAAAGGCCAGTATAGCACCATGGAGCATAACATCACAGTGAAGCTGATCACATGGTAATCCTATATATTCCCCATGTCCTTTTCAAACAGCTCTCCTTGCTCTCCCTTTCAGCTGAATCTTTTTTTTTTTCTTCACTCCAGCTCTCCGCCGAATCCCACCAGGACTCTACCCAGCAGAGGTGTGTGTGGGGGTTTGTGTGCATGTGCATGCATGTTTAACATTGTGTAAGAAGCCTGGTTTTTCTCCGTGATATTTTTGGTAAGTTGCTGTGTGAGATTAATATTCATAACATTCACCAATAAACAGGATCTGAGTGAACTATGCTTTCTGTTATTTTGAGGGAGTCAGAGCACAGAAACCTGTTTGCTTCAGAGGTTTGTGTCAGCGTGCACTTATCTCAGCCTTGTTGGAATCGTTTACAGTAGCGCTGCTCGGACCTTTAAGGACTTTTGATGCAGCTTTCACACAGAATACATTTGGCAGCCAACACAAAGGACCTGACAAACAAACATTTTAACCAAAAAAAAACAAATTCAGAGTGTAGCTCCGATGGTGTTTGCTGTGTTTGTGGAGGTCAGTGGATGTGTTTATGAGGAAACATGAGATTCTATATGTGCTGCCAGACGGTAAACAAGACTGGAGGTCACTGAAAATATAATGAGCTGTGGGTTTAGTCCCTCTGCCGGCTCCTTCATCCGAGCTACTGAACACAGACCTCAACAATTTAACAGTTTATCTGAGCTTCAGGTCAACATCAGCCTCCAGACAAACGAATATGAACCTCCAGCTGCTGATAGAAATGCTGGTAACGAACGAGTAGGGTTTCATGGTGATATGATCTGAATAAAAATGTATGGACTTTTACCAGATGAAGGTTTTTTTTTTTTTTTTTCATCCTCTGAGCCAGAAATCAAAATTTCAGCAGCACTAAGCTTAAATAGTTTTATTCCTATTTATATTCTGAAGGTTTTTACAGAGGGGTCAGTTCATACATGATTCACAGCCTGATTTATAGAACATTTTATTCCTAAAAACATGGTGAAAATTGATTTTTTTTCTCTCTCTCTCTTTTTTTCTGGCCGTTAGCAGTATTTTCTGATTAATGGAGTTATATAAAAAAGTGCTACCTAAATCCCCTCTATACCTTCAAAGCTGACTTTATTCAAAGTTTAGATGAGAATAAATTCATAACTGACACTTAAGCTGTTTGAAGTTGACAAATCTAGCTTCACCTTCATATTATAAAGAGAAATGCAGCCACCCTCTTCACCATTCTACATCTGTTTTATTAGTAGAGAGTATTCTTTTCAACACTGGAACCATTTAACCATGAAAATGATCACTGTTCATTAGCTTTAACCATGTGGTTTTAGTTCCTTTAAATCGAGCAGACCTTAGCCTCGGGGGAGGCAGATTAGAAAGTCATTCTGAGTCATTTCTCAATGCTGTGTCATTGGGATAATTTTGGAACAAATTGACAAGCCGTCGAAAATTGTAATTTTAGTGAGAAGATGAGTAACAGACTCACTCTCAGCCATCAGAGGGTTGAAGACAAGAACCGACTTCTCTGATTCCTGATTCTCATGCAAATACAAACACGTGTAACTGAACGAGCACAAATGATTCTGTTTTTAAGTAATCGTAATGATGTACTCACAGTCCAGGAAACACCACTTTGGAGACAGTCTCTGCGAGGAGAGAATCTTTGGCTTGGCCGCCTCCTCCTGAATGACAAACAGACAAACGGTTAGATTACAAAGCAGGAGATAACAGCGACGGTGGAAAGAAGCTCAGCTGCTGTGAGGACGGGACTTTTTTGTTGGAAGTGATCCATCTCTGTATCAGGCAGAAAAGACAAAGAAATGGATGGATGGAACAGAAGGTCTGACCTAGAGTGAGAAAGTTAGTGAATAAGACCAAACAGGCCAACGGGGCTGTTGTTATAGATCGTCATTTGGTTATTAAGGCTTAATCAGAACTAATTTAAACCGATTCTGTCTGTACTCGTCATAAATCAAGTGACCGCAGTCGTTCCTAATTGGCACGCTGCGAGGCAGAGTCAAACGTCATGCAGGGTGACGCAAAATCGTTGAAACACGGAGAAAATAGCAAACTTTCAGACAGTCTGTCCTGGATGATGGAGTTCACTCATTTGCTCACTTGAAAAGTGACACTATTTGCCCTGTAACAGATGAAAGAAGACGGCTGAGAGAGGGATTCAAACCGGCTGATTTTTCACCTGTGACCAACCAGTGTGAAGTTCAAACATGCAGATCTATTTGTCCCTCATATCGAACACAGAAGACACAAAGGGCTCCTTGTGGATGTTTCAGAAAAGTCGTGACGTTAAAATTTGTACAGGATATAGCAGCTGGTTACAGATGGGAATGCAGCACCGTAGCATGTAAGCACCTCGTAAAGCCCAGCAGCTACTACTTCAAATACAACTCTTCTAATGATGGCTTCTGAAAGTGTGGATGATGGAGAATCTCTTTGTACAACCTCTCCTCTTTACAAGCATTAGTATCTTTTTCTTATGCATGCACATTTTGGTGCAGTCTTTTGGCAGTGTAGTCTGTGAGTGCGCAAAAGTTTAAGACATGATGCAAGTTTCTTCATATCCTGGTACGTACGCTACAACCGCAATAGCGTGCATGCTTGGTAGTAGCGTAAATGCATGGAATACGTACACACGACCTACTGCTCAGTGTTCTCCAAGTGGACTCTGTGGAGTATTATGAAAACCACAACGACTCATCCGTGGGTGTCTGCAGCAGCATGTGTTCTCAAGGGAACATCGTCAAGGCTTAACACATTCGTTCACCCATTTAACACTGATCAGCACCATCCGAGCCTCCAGTCTACCAGCGTTTGGTTGTATTATTAACCTCGTTCATAATTTCATTTAGTGTTTAGTCATCTGTATGGCATGTGGCCCTTTCACAAAGAACGCAGCACCCCATTAATTCCAATGCAAGACAGTTTTTTGCTGCACTGAAAGTTGCGAGACTATTAGAAATGAAGCATCATTCGTGCTAAGGTCTTCGCAACAAAGTGGGAGCCTCCTGTAATCTACCTGAAAGGGCCTTTACTCTGATGTTCTGACATAACCTTAACCAATCTTGACGTTCTAACCTAACCCTAACCACTGCTTACATCCTTACTCATCTGCCAGTCAAGTAGCATTTCTTTATAAGTATCTACCTTTTCCCAGATGCTACCCAGTGAAATGACGTTTTATGGTGCCTGATTGCAAATATATGAAAAAAAAAAGGCAAAGTTGGACCTGTGATCAGTCAAATCAGGATGAAGGTCACAATAAAAGGTTAAATGCTATTTATTAAGCCACTTAGACAGATAGTGACACTTGTCTGTGAATGTGGTGCAACAGACCTCAGAATAAATTAGAAGTTGTCCTCTCCACATCGCATCACATTATCCTCTTTAATCAAAACGTATGCAAATAATCAGCCTCATATTTAATTCAGCAGTGAAGTTAAATCAGCTTTGTAACGCTGAAAACTCAGGAGAATTCTGTGTCTGTGACCAGTCGAAAGTTGCCACACCTTCGTATCCACTCGCCTCATTACTGCAACTTTTTTGTATGTTGCTATCGCTTAAACTTTTTTTTTTTTTTTCCCCCTCCAGTCTCCAATTAGTTTGGAATACTGCAGCAAGACTTTTAACAAGATCAAAAAACAGACAGCATATAACTGAGACGCCTGCCACTCTGCTCTGGTTTCCCGTTAGCTGTAGACTGAAGTTGGAAATCTTGCTCTTTGTTTACTAAATGGTCTTGGCCCTGCTTCTGTGTGTGAACTGCTGCCCCTGACACCACACTGTCAGACCCCTCAGATGTGGAGACCAAAGGCTCCTGTATGTCTACAGATCAAGGCCTAAATGTTGTGGTGAAAGAACAGATGCCCCCCAAAACTGTGAGATTTCCCTCCATCAATTTGTTCTTACTCTATCAAACTTTTTAACTTAAAACACACTTTCACTTGTTTACTGTGCCTGACTTTGCACTGCATTCGCCTGAGGCCGTATCTCGTACGCTGCGCTGTCTTGTCTTCTTTCTTTCTGCGCTTCAAAGCACTTCGGATCAACCTCAGTGCGTCCTTTTTTGCCAAAGCTTCTGCAGTCTAATCTTAACAACCTGATAGTTAATTCTTCATGGTGTTTAGAAGGTTTGTTGACACTGTTGTAGGAAAGTGCAACTTAATGATAATTTGGGATGCTGTGTGCTGCTCAGCGCTGGGCTGCAGTGACACCACAGGTCATGATGCTGCTAGTTAAAACACATTCCCAGTCAGGTACTGCAGAGAAAAAAAAAGAACTGTGTGCTGCTGGAACCGTCTCCCCAATCTGTATTCAGCTTTTCCTTTAAATATCATCAGTGTTACTGGACACAGATGGTGCAACGGTTTTTATTTACATGTTTTTGTCTGTTTTTTCAGACAGATGGGACTAAATACTAAAATTTTTGGAAGTCATTGCCAAGAAGAAGAGAACAGTCAGACGCACGAATAGGAGCAGTCGTAGATTCATCATTGCAATCAAGAAAAAAAGTGTTATAGCAGTTATTAAATTCACCCACGACTGAACCAAAATTTAGGAAGTGATTGTGTTTTCTCATCTTCACCTTCCATCCTTCATCAGAGGTGCACAGGACAGATTTAAGTTATGTGTGTTTCTTTTTTTTTTTTGGCAAAATGCAAACGCAGTTAACGTCTACCTCAATTTTTCCTCTCTGTCCACAGGCTTGTCCCTTTGATATTTTTAATGCAGTTCTTAATCTTCTGTAGTGCTGATTTATCCAGGAGAGTTTCGTGCTGATCCAAGCAGTAGAAGTGCTTCAACTGTGAGCCATGTGAGGCATATAAATGGGACCCATGGGCCCACAATACAGGTTCCACCACTTAAAACCTAACATTTCTCCTGGTGAGCTATTGTTCCCACTTAAGCGGTGTGTGCAAGCAAAGATTGCATCACTACATTTCTTTAAAAAAAAAAAAAAAAAGGATTTAGTTCCACCACATCTCCTGCCTGGGGAGGGAGAGCAGCAGTGGACTGGTTTGATGTCATAGCAAACCAGACCCATAAGCGACATGGGTCATATGTCCTGAAATAAACATGTGGTGTGGCTGTAGCTACACAGGTGTTGTTTGATTTATGGGGCATTACACAGACGTGTACACTGTATTTCATATTTTCAAATGCTACATCTAACCTTGAAGGTGGACTAAATTTTCAAACCACTTTTTCTGTATAATTCAGTGAAAGTTTACAGGTTAGGTCTAAGTAAGGACAATGATACAGTTCACAAGACAAGTTCACAGACTCTGTGAACATGTAGCCCATTAACTGTTATGGAAAGATTCTCTGTCATCCACACTTTTATCACTAAAAGAGTTGTACCTGAAACAGTCACCGTCCGACTTTAGAGGCGATTTAATCTGCACGTGTTCCATCGTGGAACCTACCTAAACGCAGTGGGAAGTTCTAAATTCTCCAGAAACCCTGTGCTATATCTCAGGAATAATCACATTGACAAAGTGCTACAGGCTAATCTGTGAATAGCTGCTATATATTCAATAAAATGCAAAGTCATTGTCAACCTTTCATGTGTTTTTTTGCATTCAGTGTGAGGAGCAATGTGACCACATTGTACCATGAATAGAACTGTATGTTTGCATCCGTCATCCAAAAATCATGACGTGGTCTTAAATCAAGGTAAGCAGAGGAATGCAAAGAATAGCTGACAAGGAAAAAACTAACTTGGTTTAAATGATTCCACATGTGACACTCAAACTGTGTTTCAGTGGGTGTGATGCACTGTTTTATGAGTCACAAGTAAGTCTCATGTCTTCAGTATAAAGTCCTGTGTATGTTTGTTTTGAGTCCTAATTAAGTTAGTATATGCCACGTCACCTTGCAAGTCATTTTGTAATTTAAGTCTTTATGTTCTGAGCCTCCACAGCACAGCGCTGATGACAAGAGATCCAGTGGTCTCAGTGGAAACCTGTACACAGCTCAGTTACTATCAGTGGATTCATGTTGCGAGATGCTTTTCCACAGTGACTGATAGAAATCCAAACAGCCTTAGGATTGCTAGCATAAAATGGGACCAATTTAAATATAATCAATGCGGTTTTGGCAGCTTCAATGCAGTACCTAGCAACAATCTCAGTTCAGCGCTGCAGAGAAGTCACCTTCCAATAGATGTGACAGGAGGAGAACAAGCCAAAGAAAGTTATTTTCCTTTCAAACTGCACACCTTTCATGCAAACTGTGACAGAAAGGCTGGCTGAAGTAAACACCTCTCCTACTCTCCTTGTCTGTTTGTCTCTACTTATCTAATCCTGCTGTCAAGTTCAGCAGCAGTCTCGAGCTGAGTAAAACGCCTGCAGGCTCGTACAGAAAACCTACAAACACTGAATAAAAAGCCCAACTCATCTGACTGACTCTTCTTCGCCTTCTTTCTTCCCATTTCTTCTCCATTCACTCTCTTAACCCTTATTCTAAGGAAAGCTCAGGGAAAGCAGACATAGACTAAGCACATCACATAAATGCCTAGTATTCTGTAGGGGCAGACGCTACAGTGAATGGGAGACACAGTTTCCTCTGTTCACATCCATCTTTGATTTTATCTACTCTAGAATCCATTTCCTACCATTTTCACATGGACCAGCCAGGACAGGACCAACCAATCAGCAGCAATAGG